TTCTACAAGGCAAAAAAGGTGATAAAAGATTTGGGTCTTCATTATGAAAAAATTCATGCATGTACTAACGATTGCATGTTATTCTGGAATGACACTGCAAAGTTAGACAAGTGCTCAATGTGTGGATCTTCTAAATGGAAGAATATTCGTGATGACTTGACTAATAAGGTCACTAAAATTCCAGCAAAGGTTTTAAGGTACTTTCCTTTAAAGCCTAGGCTTCAGAGGATATTCATGTGTTCTGAAACATTTGTAGCTATGAGATGGCATGATACTGAACGACCCAAAGATGGAAATTTAAGACATCCTGCTGATGGAAAAGCTTGGAAGGATTTTGATTCCTTGCACCCTGACTTTGCTAGTGATTCTCGTAACATTAGATTGGGTCTTTCAAGTGATGGTTTTAATCCATTTCGAACTATGAGCATTTCCCATAGCACATGGCCGGTTATGTTGATGAATTATAATTTATCACCATGGATTTGTATGAAATCGGAGTATATAATGTTGTCAATGATTATTCTAGGTCCATCGTCTCCTGGAAATGATATTGATGTATACTTACAACCACTGATTGCAGAGTTGAAGGAACTATGGGAAGTGGGAGTGGAAACATATGATATTATAACTAATCAAACATTTATGATGCGTGCAGCTTTATTGTGGACAATTAGTGATTTTCCAGCATTGGCAATGCTTTTCGGATAGAGTACCGAAGGGAAATGGGCATGCCCCACTTTTAATCATAACACTTACTCCCAATATCTCAAACATAGTCATAAGATGTGTTATTTGGGTCATCATGATCATCCATATAGAAGAGATAAAAAATCCTTTAATGGTAAAGAGGAGCATAAAGTTGCACCTACTCCTTTATCAGGCTTGAAGAACTTCGTGAATTCAATAATGTTTTTGGAAAGGGCCAAAAGAAAAGAAAACGAAAGAATGATGGTCCATGGAAAAAAAATCCATATTTTTTGAGTTGCCGTATTGGGCAACAAACAAATTGAGGCATAATCTTGATGTGATGCACATAGAGAAAAATATTTGTGACAGTTTGCTTGGGACTTTATTGGATATACTTGGAAAGTCCAAAGATCATATAAATTCTCGCTATGACTTGCATGAGATGGGGATACACAAAGAGCTTCAACCGGTAAAAGATTGTGATACTGGAAATATTCATTTGGCTAAAGTTTGTTTCTCTATGAAACCAGAGGAGAAAAGGTTATTTTGCACTGTTTTAAAAGATGCCAAATTACCAAAAGGATTTGCCTCTAATATATCAAGTCGTGTGCAAATTGAAGATATGAAAGTATCAGGATACAAAAGCCATGATGCTCATTTCATATTACATTACTTGATCCGGGTTGCTGTCAGAAAAGTGTTGCCCAAGAATGTGTCTTTGATCTTAATAAGGTTGGGGAATTATTTTAGAGCCATATGTAGTAAGGTTATAAGAAGAAGCGATCTTGATAAGTTGAAGGCTGAAATCATAGATATAGAATGTGAGCTTGAAAAGATTTTTCCTCCATCCTTTTTTGATATAATGACACATTTGCCTATCCATTTAGTGGATGAAATTAAGCTTGGAGGCCCGACTCATTTGCGTTGGATGTATTCTACTGAAAGAACTATGTGTGACTTCAAGGGGCTTTTTCGTAATCGATAAAATCCAGAAGGGGCAATAGTAGAGGGTTTTTCAGCTATAGAGTGTTTGACCTTTATTTCGAGATACCTACCTGATATGGTGAAGACAACATTTAGTAGGTATCAAACCGAGGATGATGAGGACATTCAAACAGGGGAAGGTGATGCTTCACCTTTATTTCCTAAGACAGGTCATCCAATTGGAAGTATGAATAAAAGGATAGGCAAGACTTTTAACATGGAGCATAATGAGTGGTTTGAAGCTCATCGATATGCTTTGTTCAATACTGGAGATGAAAAAGTAGAGACATTCATCAAGTAAGATAAAATAGTCATTTGCTTTTAAATTTAAATTCCATTAATAAGGTTAGATTGATTAAATTGCATATCATTCTTGCAGGGAACATAATAATTTAATTGATAATCGTACTAGAGGAAATGCATGGGTAAAAGCACAAATCCACAGTAAAGATTTCAGTGATTGGTTTAGGGATAAAGTTAAAAATATTGAAGTGTCCAATCATTTAAGATGGCTAGCTAAAGGGCCTAATTTTGTGGCTAAAAGATATACTGGATATTTCATTAATGGATATAGATTTCATACAAAGACACGGGATGTCCCTTGCAAGACTCAGAATAGTGGAGTGACTTTGTCAGCAACAACAGATAATTTTGCTAGCGCTAGGGACCAAAATCTTATCGATGGAATGGTTATCTATTATGGAATTATTCAGGATATCATTGAGATTGACTATTGGGGTTGCTTTAGTGTTGTACTTTTTAGACGTGATTGGTTTCATAATGAAGTTGATGAATATGGATTGACTCGCGTATACATCAATAAAAAATGCAGCACGAATGATCCTTTTGTACTAGCATCCCAAGTGCATCAAATTTTTTATGTGGAAGACCCAATTGAGAAAAATGTATATTATGCAAGACATAAAGTTTCAGTGGATTTGTATGATTTGGAGAAAAAGAATTGTCCTAATATTGAAGAAACATTTTGGAGAGAGACTAACGATAACATTGGTTCATCAGAAAGAGTACTCGATGTAGATGTTAGATGGTCAAGAGAAGATCTCTCTGTTGATATCATTGATCTACCTGCCCTTGCACAACATTCAGAAGATGTAACTATGCAAACATCAGAAGAGGAGGATGACTTTGATGACACTGATTGGGATTGGATGGAGGCTGATGATTGACAAAGGATCTTCCTAACTTGTTCAATACATTCTCTTCTTCATTTTTTTGTAGTGAGTAATAAATACCTTTTTGAGTTGCATCATATAAAGTATGAATGTCGATTGGACTCTATTTGGATTTCTACTTATTTGCTACTGCTAGTTGCTTGATTTCTGCTTATTTGTTTTGAAATATTTTCTTGCTAATGTTGGTACTATAGATATATTAGTACAGATCCTATTGTTGTTTGTTCTTCTCACTTTCATTGTTTTTGTTATTCACATTTGAAAATTCTACACTAAGAGGCTTCTTCTGTCTTATTTTTACACAGATTTGGATAGTCATGAGTCAACAAGAGTCTTCAAAAAGAAACAAAAGAGCAAAAAATAAGACATATGCTAAACCTGGATCATTATCATTCTTGGCAAATAAAAAACGACGGTTATTGACAACAAATGAAAATTTTCAAGCTATAGAGTCAGAGAAAGGACAACTGCTTAAATTAATTGAACAACAACCGGCAACACCACAATCTGAAGCTAATGGACAATCTGTAGAGGAGCAGCCTCGTGAACAGCCTCGTGAGCAACCTCTTGAGCAACAACCTATAGAGGATCAAGTGCAAATGAACTCTGTCACTCCCCCAACTGGTGAACAACCTGAAGAACAAGGTAACATATAAACTTAGAAACTTACTAAATTCATCTATGAATTCTAATTTCTTATATTTTCTTATAGCTGAAGGTGTTTCCAGTAAAAACAAAAGAGGTCAAACGCAAATGCATAATGTACATGCATGAAAAGAGCGTAAATTGATCTTATTGAATAGGCTAAATCAACCAGCTGGTCCTACTGAGGACGTTGTGACAGAGTTAAGTAGCTTCCTAGGTACATTGGCAAGAAATGCGACTCTTTGCCCATTTGATATATTTGATTGGAGGAGCATGGATACTAAAAAGGATTTATGTGATTATACTAAGGTTTGGAGTTTTCAATATTTAATTTCTTGTAGAAATATTTTACTTCAATCGGCGAACTGAATGACACCAAATTGTAGGAGAAATACATTATTCCTGAAGCTGCAAAAGATTGGGCTTTGGTAACAATTCGAGAGGCTTGGAGAAGGCATAGAAGTGACTTGAAGATAAATTATTACGATCCATATGACAATGATGAAATTCGAATGGCAAAAAATCCTGGTCATATCCCAGAATGTCAGTTTAGAGAGCTCCTTAAATATTGGAAGTCTGAGAAATTCAAGGTAAAATGTAGTTCAGAATCTGAAACATCCAGCTTATTCTTCTCCTGATCTCTTTTGTGATATAGCTGCTGCTGCAATTTTATTTTTCTTTAACTTTCTCTTCTCAGTTGCAATATTGTTGCAGCTTGTTACTTCTTCCAGTTTGGTAGTCACAACTAAAACGGAGGATTTTTCTCCAATCTTAGAGAATGTTCATTGAGTAAGATTTTTATGCTTATCTCACTGTACAGCTAAGATTAACAACCAAAGTTTTATGTTCCTGACTATTTTTCTTATTTATTTTAGTTTAAACTCAATAATTTCAGTTAGAAGTTGATAAGATCAAATGTAACAGGATAAAAAGTCACATGTTCAACTCTTTACTCAAAAAGAAAAAATCTTAAGAACTTATTTATTAGTAAAGTTTGATCGCTGAAATTTGCATCAAGGTTTCACTAAACTAAGTGCCATTTTGGATAAACTGTTTTTAGGTGCTTTTGACTCATGATTTAAAACATACTCATGACTAATCTTAAGTGGTGCTAACCTACTTTGCTCACTAAATTGGTTTGAATAAAAAGTTGACAAATTGTTATGAGTACCTTAAAGAGAGACTTCAATGTTGGCATATTTATGCAACTGTAAGCTAAGCTTTCTAATAATGTTATGGTGATTGGGTTGTAAGTTTTCACTTGTTTGACTCATAATCTATTTATGTTTGATGATGTTATGAATCAAGCTTTTAAACTTATCAAACTAAGGTCTGCAGATTGGTTTTAGCTTCATAACATTCATACTTACAAAGCATATTCTTTACTTGGATTTGTTAAAAAAGAAATATTGAGACATTGACCTCATCTAGTACATTATGTAGCACCCATATGCCTTTGGTTAACATTATTGATTCATTTATTTGCAGAAAATGTCTGAAACAAATACTCAGAAAAAGCTGATGAATCCACACACAGCAGGCAAAAAGAGTTTTGCTTTAATCCGTAGTAAATTGGTGTGTTCTCTTATTAATTATCTAGTCTTAACCTATCATTTAAGCAACTCCTAATATCTATTTTTATGTGATTAGGAAAAAGAAAAGGAATCTGTATCCGCTATGGAGCTCTTTGTGGTCACAACAAGAAGAAAACCTGGTCGTTTGTACAAGGCATCGAATGAGTACACAACTAGTAAAATTGTACGAATATTGTCAATATTTTTTTTTACTAAGACCAATTATTTATTCTAAATTTTAATTTACAAGAATGCTTGTTGGATATGCTTTGTTAAGCTGAAATGGAGGAAATTGAAAAGCAAATGAGCACAAATGGTCAGTCTGTTGATGCATTTTCAGCCGTCATGGGTCCAGAATATCCGGGTCGTCTAAGACTATATGGAGTGGGGGTTACAAAGACAACTTTGAAAAAGAAAGTTGACAATTCTGAACCAACTTTGAATGAAACAAATGATGTAGTGCAACAAATGCAAGAAAGGATGCAAAAAATGGAGAAACAAATGGAAGAACAAAGGAGAACTATGCGACAAGAAATTATTGCAGATGTAGTTGCACAACTTCAGCATGCAGGATTAATTGATCCTAACATACTAGCAGCATTGTTTGTTCCTTCCCCAAGAGAAGCTACTTCTGCTCAAACAGCCGAGCAAGGTTTGTCGCTATTTATTTTGATTGTGGCCTTGTCGGCTATTTATTCTGATTGTGGCCTTGTTGGCCATTTAGTTAGTTGAGTATTTTCTAGGATCAACCTCGTCGGCTATGAGTAATTAAGTATCAGCTAACATCATTCTATATACCACTGTTTCAGGAGATGTCCTTTTTTTTTTCTTGTTGTACCATTTTAATGTCTGATGGACTGCTGTAACATTTATATTATAAGGGACTATTGAGTAAAGTCTTGTTGATTTCTTATTGCCTATTTCTTCTGATTGTGGCCTTGTCGGCCATTTGGTTAGCTGAGTATGTTCTAGGATCAACCTCGTCGGCTATGAGTTATTAAGTATCAGCTAGCATCATTCTATAAACTATTGTTTTAGGGGATCTCCCCTTTTTTTCTCGTTGTAGCATTTTAATGTATGTTGGACTGCTGTAACATTTATGTTTTTTGGTAAACTATAAAATACCATAAACAAACAAGGGGCCGATACACCTAGGATCATCCAAGGTAATTGACAAACGACGTTGTAAGCCATAAGAGAATCCCGTAACTCTTTCCTGCCTTACTTTGTATTATAGGCGTAAACCATTGTCATGATAAATCTCTGTTGCAGAGAAATACTTCTCACTTCGCAAGTAATCAACTGAGATGTTGACTCTATTAGTGTAACTGTATAGTAATCCGGCCTCCAAGTTTTCCAAATCCTACCATTGTATTGAGAAGCAAGATTAGTAATGAACGGCTCTGAGCTATCAAATCAATCTTCCCTACTTTTATTTTTGTTTCCAGTAACCCTACCAGCCCAATTTTTTCATTATTACAAAGGAGTTTCACCTCCTTTTGTTTATTAGGGCCATTGAGCCCATCACATTCCAACAAAGACAACTATCCATTCCCAATGTTGGGATTAGGATGGCCTCCCACTATTCCTTCACTGTTACTGATAGCCTTCTTACTCTTACCCTCTTTGTTCAGTACCTGAAAATTGTTTTAACTCTCTACATGTAGTGGCTGCTTAGTTTGAGACTTCAGTGGTTTTAGAGGTGTGACCCAAACATTAGTTGCACTCTGATTCTGAGACTCATCTAATATGTCCGCCTTATGAGGATCCAACGCACTTGTTGGAGATGATATTTTCTCCTGAACAATGATTCCTTTAATTGAAGGTTGGATATCTTGGCCAACTCGAGTCGCCATTCCTTCTAATTCGTCCCTTTTTTTGCCCGGAGTTGTATTCTTCTTCCTACAGTTCACTTCTGAATGGCCATATTTATCACAAACCTTACACAACGTTGGCTTCCAATCATACAACAACTTCTGCTCTATCAAATTACCCTTCTCCGACCTGAACAGGATCACCTCTGGCAGCATTGTGTCCATTTCAACTTCAACTAGCAGCCTCGCAAAGTTCAGTCCTACTTTTCTTTCAGTATTATGGTCCACCATTAGAGGTTTCCCAACCAAACTACCAATCTTACTAAGTCCTTTCGGACTCCAGTACTTAAAATCAAGACCAGGAAGCTTGATCCAAATAGGTACAATGCGTAGTTCTTCCCTCGTAAATTCCATATCAGGATTCCATGCCTTCACTATAAATGGTTTGTTGTCAAAGTGGTATATGCCACCTTGCAACACCTCTTGCTTCCCTACGTCAGTGTCAAATCGAACTATAACAATACCATTCTTGAGCATCGCCATTTTGTTAATTCCTAGCTTGGACCAAGGCCTGTGTATGAATCCTTTCAGCACTTCAAATGGGGGATGGGATCCCAACACATAACACACTACTGCAGTCTTCCAATTGGCAATTTCTGAACTAATATCCTCTAATTCAATCTCAATTACGGGGGATTCACCATGCATAACAAGTTCTACATACTCCAATTTGAACCCAACGTTTCTCCTGTATGTGGACTGTTCTGATTGCTCTTGCAGTTGGGTCATTATTCTTCTGTTAGTTAGAAAATAGCTTTACTGTTAGTCATTATTCTTCTTGTTGTAAATAAATTAAGACTTTAATAGTGAGGAATATATTAGTTTTGAGTAATTGTTGAATTGAACTAGGAGTGATGGAATAATTCCCAGAAGAAGTAGGCAAATATCTTCTGCAACTATACTATTTTTTAATGTCATTTGAAGCTTATTGAATTTATATGCTTGTTGTAGATATAGAGTGATAACTTTAAAATATATCATTGAAGTCATTGAACTTTTGCAACAAAATTGCTAAATTATTTTGTATTTTCATTAATTGTATGTAGGTGATGATATTGAAGAAGGAGATGAAAGTAGTACTGAAGACTTGACATAGGAGCTGAATTGAGTTGATGTTAACTTTACCTATGTTCTGGAAATCTGTTATTTTTGAAAATTGAAAACCGTGTGGTGCATCTGTACATTAATTTCACACTTTTTGAATGGTTGAAAAATGTTTATATATTTTGCTTTTATCGATATTATGTACCCAACCATGGATCTTAGATTATAATTTTGGTAATGAAATATAACTTCTTCGCATGATCTTTTTATGTGTATTTTATGTATCAAAGTATTGCAATGGCTAAATTAATAATATATGTGGAACCAATAGTATATATGTTGGGATAGCCTAATATTAATCGTTGCAATATGTATATATTAATTGTTGCAAAAAGTAAAGAATTATTGCATTACCCCGTAATAACTGTACCAATAGACATTGAGCAACAATTATAATAGTTTAAAATTGATGCATTACCATATAACAACCGTTGCAATAAAATGAAATTGTTGTAAAAATAATTGTAGCAACAACCTACAAAGAACTGTCGCATAAAACTCTATCGAGACGGTAAAAAACCGTACCAATAGGGGTGTTAACCGTTGGCAATGGATTGTAAATAAATGTGGCATAAAACTTAATTCCGACGGTTCATAACCGTACCAATAGAACTTTAACCGTTGGCAATTTATTAATCTGTAAACCGTCGCAATAGGGGCATCTACTGCTACAATTGGAATAACCGTCGGACAAAACCGTCCCAATAGAACTAATGCAACGCCAACTGCTGTAGCGGTTGGATAAACCGTGGCGTTAGAGCTATAGCGACGGTAGAGAAGCCTATTGCAACAGTAAGTTAACCGTGGCAGTAGATCATATTTCTAGTAGTGTCTGTTCAGACCCGTTTTTTCCAGAACATTGTGTCCTTTGGGAAAAGTAACGACTTTTCGGAAGGATTACCGTTTGGGAAAAGAAACGACTTTTTGGAAAGATTATCGTTACACGTGAATTTCAAATAAATTCAGTTGCGCCAAATTAATTATGTTATTTAATTAACATTCTGAATTAATTTATAAGAGAAAGGAAATGATTTAACAAGATTGATTAAATAAATTTTGTCCAAAAATATTATCAATCAATCACATCATTTGCCAAATCCAAATCCAAATTAGAAGCTGAAGCCGAGGCCGAGGCCGAGCGAGCGACGTAGACGGCACGAGGGGGCACCTTCTTCTTAACCCTTTAAGAACTAAAGGAAGTGTTTCCTAATATAAGGACAACAATTTCCTTTCTTCTACCGATATGGTAAAAATGACCTTTCATTTGCACTTTTTCAATGATGACTGTTCATTTTCCCTCCAAAATTGGTTCCCCCACTTTCATTGGTTCTTCCACTTTCCATTTTCTCTTTTTATTTCTCATTCACACCTTGCTAAACCCAACAATCCCCCACATGAATGGGGAATAGCTATTGTTAAAACATATGCATGAAAAACTTGTGTGTCTCGTAAGTAAGGGTTAATCGCATCTGGATAAGTAGGTTTTCCTTTAAACTTTCCGTAGTGAACATATATCGGATATACTCGATCAATCGGTAGATTTGATATCTTTGAACCGTCGAACTTTAGTGTATACCTAGACAACATAAGTCACACAATCAACCCTTGAACTGTTTTTGGTCTCATTATTTTGTTCGTTTCAGCCATGAACACATCTCGGTTAATAAGTGCTTAAAGAACTGGCCTTATCAGATTCTCTTTGAAGCGGCTTACACTTCACACTTACATAGGTGGTTTTTAATTGTGTTATCCCGTAGATACACTATTTGATATACCCTGTATCAAACTTAGAAACCATTAAAAAGTCCTTATGCCTTTATACTAGTTACTGAACATTGTCTCATCATGAGAATGGACATAAAATAATTTTTGACAATGTTGAACCGTCATTTATGACTTTGTTTTATCTCCTTGAACCTAGATCTTGGGATCTCCAGTCTTCTAGGTAGAGTTATCGCCACGATGACTTGTTCTCGGCCATAGTCCATTCCCGTCGATGATCTCTCAACTCTCTCTCTAGTTAGGCTTTTTGTAAGTGGATCCAACACATTATCCTTTGACTTTACATAGTCAATTGTGATAATTCCACTAGAGAGTAGTTGTCTAACAGAGTTATGTCTTCGTCTTATGTGATGAGACTTCCCGTTATACATAACGCTTCCAGCCCTTCCTATTGCAGCTTGACTATCGCAGTGTATGCATATAGGGGCCATTGGTTTAGGCCAAAACGGAATATCTTCTAAGAAATTCCGGAGTCATTCAGCTTTTTCACCTGTTTTGTCTAAGGCAATGAATTCTGACTCCATTGTAGAGCGAGTTATACATGTTTATTTGGATGATTTCCAAGATATTGCTCATCCACCAATAGTGAAAACATATCCACTCGTGGATTTTGTTTCAGTTGACCCAGTAATCCAATTTGCATCACTATATCCTCCAAGAACTGTTGGATATTTGTTGTAATGCAAAGCATTGTTTTGAGTGTCTTCTAAGTACCCCAAAACTCTCTTCATTGCCAACCAATGATTTTGATTGGGATTACTTGTGTATCGACTCAGTTTACTTATAGCGCAGGCTATGTCTGGTCGTGTACAATTCATGACATACATCAAACTTCCCAATACTCTGGCGTAATCCAATTGAGACTGACTTTCACCTTTATTCTTAGTAAGATTAAGGTTCACATCAATTGGAGTCTTTGCCTTTTTGAAATTCAAATACTTGAACTTTTCAAGTACCTCTTGAATATAATGAGATTGAGACAATGTTATACCGTTAGGAGTTTTGTGAATCTTTATACCCAATATTAAATCGGCTACTCCTAGATCTTTCATATCAAACTTACTAGCAAGCATACGCGTAGTAGCTTTTATATTTGCAATGTCCTTGCTCATTATCAGCATGTCATCCACATATAGGCATACAATGACTTCCTGATCCGTAGTGTCTTTAATGTAAACACATTTATCACACTCATTGATCTTAAATCCATTTGACAACATGGTTTGATCAAACTTTGCATGTCATTGTTTCGGTGTTTGTTTTAGTCCATAAAGTGACTTAACAAGTTTGCATACTTTTTTTTCTTTGCCGGGAACTACGAAACCCTCAAGCTGTTCCATGTAGATTTCTTCCTCCAACTCTACATTTAAGAATGCGGTTTTCACATCCATTTGATGGATTTCAAGACCGTATATTGCAGCTAGGGCAATTAACATCCGAATTGATGTAATCCTAGTCACCGACGAGTATGTGTCAAAATAATCAAGACCTTCTTTCTGTCTAAAGTCTTTGACAACAAGTCTTGCTTTATGTTTGTCAATAGTTCCATCATCTTTCATCTTCTTTTTGAAGATCCATTTAGAACCTAAAAGTTTGTTCCCTGGAAGAAGATCAACCAACTCCCAGGTATGATTGATTAAGATTGATTCAATCTCACTATTGACAGCCTCCTTCCAAGAGGTTGAGTCGCTAGACAACATCGCTTCCTTGAATGTTTGAGGCTCACTTTCAAGAAGGAATGTTACAAAATCATATCCAAATGAAGTAGCTGTCCTTTGACGTTTACTGCGCCTTGGACTCTCTTCATTGGTTTCATTCTCTTTTGGTTCTTCTCGAGGTTGTTTAGACCCTCCACTAGATGAGTCAAGTCTATTTTTATACGGATAGATATGTTCAAAAAATTCAGCATTATCTGATTCCATTACCGTATTATCATGAATAGCCGGATGTTCAGACTTATGAACCAAAAATCGACATGTCTTACTATTTGTGGCATATCCAATGAATACACAATCCACAGTCTTAGGCCCTATTTTCACCCTCTTAGGTATAGGAACCTGGACCTTGTCAAGATACCCCCACACTTTGAAATATTTCAAGTTGGGTTTTATACCTTTCCATTTCTCATATGGAATAACATGTGTCTTCGTATGAGGCACTCTATTGAGTATTCGATTTGCTGTAAGAATAGCCTCCCTCCACAAGTTTTGTGGTAAACCTGAACTTATAAGTAAGGCATTCATCATTTCCTTTAAAGTTCAGTTTTTTCTTTCTGCAATTCCATTAGATTGTGGAGAGTAAGGAGCAGTAGCTTGATGGATTATTCCATTTTCCAAACATATTGCTGCAAATGGGGATTCATATTCTTCACCTCTATCACTTCTAATCATTTTGATCTTTCTATCCTACTGATTTTCAACTTCAGTTTTATATTGCATAAATGCATCTATTGCTTCATCCTTACAATTTAGCAAATAGACATAAAAATATCTAGTGCAATCGTCAATAAAAGTTATGAAATACTTTTTCCCACCACGTGTTGGTGTTGACTTCATGTCACAAATGTCAGTGTGAATTAGTTCTAAAGGATATGAATTCCTTGCAACAGATTTATAAGGATGCTTAGCATACTTAGATTCAACGCAAACTTTACATTTTGATTTATTGCACTCAAATTTAGGCTAAACATTTAAGTTAATTAGTTTTCGCAAGGTTTTGTTATTAACGTGTCCCAAACGTTCATGTCATAAACATTTAGACTCAAGCAAGTAAGAAGAAGTAGAATCTTTATTCATATCAACTGCAATTACATTGAGTTTAAAAAGGCCCTCAGTGAGGTAACCTTTTCCTACATACATCTCATTCTTACTTACTACAACTTTATCAGAAACAAATACACATTTGAATCCATTCTTAGTCAGAACTGGTATAGAAACTAGGTTCTTTCGCAATTCCGGAACATACGAGACCCTGTAAAAAGTCACCACCTTGCCTGATGTCATCTTTAGGAGGATCTTGCCAGTTCGTTCCACCTTTGCAACAGCAGAATTTGCCATAAACAACTTCTCGTCTGTAGGTGCTGGAGTATATGATGAAAATAATTCTTTGTTGGCACAAACATGGCATGAGGCACCAGAATCTATCCACCATTCTCTTGGATTTCCAACCAAGTTGCATTCTGAAAGCATTGCACAAAGATCGTCCATCTCT